TGTGTCCAGGTATCCAAATAAGAATTACAGTATTGTTTTATTTTTTTTTGCTTCTTCTAATCTGTTTTGAATTTGTATTGCTATGTCATTAGGATTAAATTTGTTTTTTACACTTATGAGGGAGCTTAACACGTCACTTAGAATAATATGTTTTTCATTTTCATTTTTGTTARTGAACTTAATGGCCATCAGTATGGCTACTGCTTCGGCTGTATAAATAGAGCATGCTGGAGATCATTTGAATGACGTTTGTAGATTTTCTTTTACTAAGGCTATTCCTACCCTTTCATCATTTTCGGAGGCATCAGTAAATATTTTATGGAATTCATTTAGATGTTYAATATTAGGATAATGCCGAACGTAAAGGGCCCGTGTCAGTGGAAGCGGAGGCTCCTCTCCTCGGTGGTCGAGAGCCAGTTGTTGTACGCGGCTCCGGAGTGGGCCACCCAAGTGTCAAAAATCGCAAGAACTACGGCAAATCTGATCCGGCYCCAGAGGGCAGCCGCCCTGAGGGTGAWACGGGCCTRTCGCACCRTCTCCGATGAGGCATCCCTGCTCCTAGCGCRAATGCCACCGGCCGATCTAGTGGCACTAGAAAAGTCGAGGATCAGAGACCGGCTAACCGCAGCCCTGGACCCTAGGACTATCCGCCCATCAAAAACTGCCATCAAACGCGAGGAGAGTCGGGTGACCCTCAYGCTCTGGCAGACGAGGTGGGAAAACAGCGGTAAAGGCGAGTGGACTCGCCGCGCGTTACCCAGCGTCAAGAGGTGGATGGAGAGAACGGTGGTGGGGGTGCCCTCGTCGTACCACATGACCCAGGCGCTGACAAACCACGGCTGCTTCYAGCAGTATCTGGCGAGGATKGGTAGGGCCCACAGTGCCGCGTGCAACCACTGTGCAGGGAACTCTGACACAACAGATCATACACTGTTCGCATTCGAATGCTGGTCCGGGCACCGCGTGGAGCTAGAATCTCGGCTCGGCCACCAGCCGACCGCSGCTGACCTCCCTGATATACTGTGCGGGCCGGACTTCGACGTCCTCCCCGCGGCCCCCGAGGAGAGAGCCATCCTCTTGGCCGAGGTCGACGAAACGCTCCRCCTTTTATGTAAGATGGTCGAGTCCATTATGARCCTCAAGGATGAAGAGGAGAGAGCTCGGCAGGCGCTGGAACGAGGACGGCTGGAGGGGATGACCTGAGTGAGACTCCAGGCCGGCGGACCGCAGCTCAAGCAAATTTATATCATGGAAATGTTAGCTCCYCGAGTAACACTCACTGGCAGTTGCATACACACTATAGCAATCGCTGAGGAAGGACTGTCAGACCGTGGGGGCACGCCTAAGGGCGCAGTTGTTGTTCAGCTATATATTTTTTAAACAATAAACGATTGGGGCCGGAGGAGAGGCAATGTGAGCAACAGTTCCTTCTCCGGCTCTCGATTAAACGGAAAAAAAAAAATATGTTCAATATTACTATTTAGAGTATTTTTGTTTATATTTGGTGGTGTGTGTTCCTTAGACAGTGAGTTTATGTTGTATGTGCTTGTCCACGAGGGGCTTAATATTTTTTCTTTTTTTATTATTTGAGGTGTTTTGATATAATCTTGATTGTTTTGAATTTTTAGTGTTATTTAGTGTTAGATATTTTGTTTTCTGATGCTGGGTTATTTTTTAATCTGGATAATATCGCTGCATATAGAAGTGCCAATTCAGTTCTTTTTAATTATTATTACTATTGTTGCAGTTATTTATTTGGTTTTACATAGCATTTTTTTTTTTTTGTAATATCGTTTTGTAATATTGTTGTGATTCTTTAGATGTTGTATTTTTTTACAAATACGATTTGAATGGTAACGATTTTTTTATTATTATTAAGAAAAATCCAAGTTTTCAATGGCCATTGAACGTTACATGGCACTACATAAAGTAGGTATTATTAAAATTACGAAAGGTAACGATTTATTAACTTTAGTGACAACTACAAATACCTTTAATTTCCGTTATGTTAATAAACTCATTTATTAATACCTGTAAATAAGAGTTAACAACCTGCTACGTACCAAATCGACATAATAAATTATTCATAATATCGATTGTTCTAGATATTCAATCGCGAACACTGTCAACAAATTAATGTCATATTTTATTGGATTTTTAATTGGACGTTTAATTGCTTAATTATGTATTAATATATTATAAAGTGATTTATTAGTTTATTACTAGCTTATTATAAATACGAATATTGTTATTTTTTTAAGTAACAACATATTTAATATTATTTTATGATGCTTAAATTTTGATTATTTTTAAAAT